CTTGCCCCAATCATTCATGTCCAACGGCCTTTGGCCCAATCATAAGACATAACGGATATTTGTCCCCAATTCCAATTGACAAACTTACGAAACTCAAATAGGAGTAAATAATTGGACAAATAGCATACTTCAAAATATCTTCACTAAGATATTACTCACAGTGATCCACTGGATGATTTGTCCTTGTGCTTGACCCTACAGAATTCATAGACATAATGGGTCACAAACAATTCAATCCGTTCTTAATTCATATATCCCTCTTAGGCTCAGAACCAATCCGTGTACTACGGATTTTTAAATCTTCAATCCGGAATCGAACCGCGGATTCAAAAAACCAATCCAAACCTATCGGATTGGACTGGACTGGATCGGATTACGGATTTCACGGATTCCTTGCTCAGCCCTAGGAATTAAGTAAAATTGTATTTGTTTATATGATAGTTGTTGGTGTAGGGATTGTTAAATTATTTTTATATAAAATGAATATAAAATAATACAAAAATATTAAACTTTAATGTTCAAAAAAAATGCCCATCACGTAAAAATAAAAAATAAAATAAAATAACAAATAAATAAAGGGGGATGCACCAATAAATCCCAAATTAATAACTTATGCACTGTTTAGTCCTAAAAGTTTTCTTATAGACTGAAAGGTCCCATTACAATGTTAATAACATCAGATACAATGTTAATAACATCAGAGTCATGTTACAAACATTGGATTTCAAACATCTAATGTTCATTAAATTTCAATAATGTTTGAAAATATAGGATGAAAAACATCTAATGTTCATCAGATTTCAATAAATTTTGAAATTATAGAATGAAACATCAGATCATTTACATCATTCACATCATGTTGATGTAAAAATGGGACTAAATGGAGCATAAGAAAACTTTTAAGACTAAATGGTTCAACGTTTCAAAAACTAGGACTTATGGGTAAATTTTCCATAAATAAAACAATGATTTTTATCTAACAAAAATATAAAAAAATTAAACATTAATGTTCAAAAAAAAAATGCTCAACATGTAAAAAATAAAATAAAAAATAAAAAATCATTCACGTAAACAAACATGTTTGCTCAAATAATGAAAATGGAAAGGATCTTGCTAAATCAATTAATGAAAAATAATATATTTACATAATTTTTATATAGAAACAAGAATATTTTAAAAATGATATTTTTAAAAATATAAGTCATCAAATCAAAACTTGTATATTATTCTGTAACCATCACGTAAAAAATAAAAAATAAAATAAAATAACAAATAAATAAAACAATGATTTTTATCTAACAAAAATATAAAAAAATTAAACATTAATGTTAAAAAAAAAAATGCCCAACACATAAAAAATAAAAAGTAAAAAAAATAGTCCGGTTGACTATTTTTTAATACCAAGTCCCAAGCTTCCATCATAATGCCCTCTTCAAGGCCGATCCTAATCCGGACGAGATTATGAATGTCCTCTCCATCTCCAAAACAAATACAATATTAGTGGGTCTCACCTCTATCTCAATCCCAATCCTCCTCTATCTCAGATATATTTACACTCTTACGTGTTTGTAGATTTTTTTTCAACTCCTACTTACATGTAATCCCTCTTTGTTACAACTTACAATGTATTCCTACTCTAATTTTTTTTTATTAATTCAGCCTCAATTTGGCCTTTTTGTCCAAATTTGATAGATACTTGCCAATTTTATAAGACGACACAGGAAAAATTAATATAAATTTGGACAAAAAGTCAAATTGAAACTAAAGTACCAAATTCTTTTGGATTGTTTTGAGAAATCAGTTAAAAATTGATTTTTTGAATTTTTTAAATTTTTTTTTGAAAAATATATAAAAAAATAAAAAAAGTAGCAAGATGATATATGACCCAAAAAAATAAAAATAAAAAAACAAAACAAAATAAAATAAAAACAAAATGCTAACATTTAACTAGCTTACCAAAACACGTTTTAATTTAAAACACTATTTGAGCTAATGCTAGGTACAATTCGATACAGTTAATTAACTAGCTGTAATCCCGTGCATAGCACGAAGGCCCGTGGTATAAAATGACTCACATCGTTACACCTTACAATGCATTCCTATATATAAAATGACTCACATTGTTACAATTTGCAATGTATTCCTATATTACATAATTTTTTTTATTAATTTTTTTTATTTATTTATGTAGTTATATTCAAATTGAATAATTTAATTTCTTCACTTTGGGATTGTTTGAGATGTCCTAAATAAGTACACTTTTTGTCTTTTTGAACTAAAAATTTGAGGAAAAAAAATATTGATGTTTAGGTTAACTATTTGTCTTTTTACGAAAAAATGTGTAATAAAAAATTGTATAAATAAAGTGTATAGGAGAAGACAGTTGAGTAGGTTGTACGGCTGCCTTGTTGGGGCAGCTGTGTCTTACACAGCAAATTATTGCCTCATTCGGGACAAGGTGTTTGGATAGTGATGGTCGGTCTGTGGGGGCCACCACGGATCCCATTTTAATAATCTGAACCATTAATATGTACAACTCGTCGAGTATTATATGTCTATAAAAAATCACAATGATCGGATATCGATAGCTATATGATCGGATTAGTTTTTTTTTTTAACAGTTAACTATCACACCATCTGTTTTGTTTATACAAAACTGATTTGATTATATAGTAAACGATATCCGATCAATGTATTTTTTTATAGGCATATAGTACTCGACGAGTTCTACATATTAACGGTTCGGATTATCAAAAATGAACTCTTAGTGGGCCCCCAAGGGCCCAACATTTCCATCAAACTTTGTGGCTTTACATACGTAATTTTTTTTTTGTCCAAAAAATGTATGACTTGCCTTCCTGCTGGGGCAGTACAGGTGGCAGTGTAATTCAAACATTTGTATTAAAAAAATGTATAAAATATTTTTTAAATATTTTTTATTTGTGAATAGTAATGACTTTTTTACTTTTTGTGTAACTTTTTGTATTTTTTGGAACTTGCCAAACCTGTCGTTTTGTCCAAATTTGATGATAAAATTAATAATTTTATGACACTTGTCAATTTTATAGGGTCACATTGAAAAAATTAATACAAATTTAGATATTAAAAAAATCAAATTAAAACTAAACTCAAAGTGTATGTACCAAATTATTTAATTTAGAACAATAGAAACCAAAATTAAATTTAAATAGGCAAAAATTGTAATTAATCCTAATTTTTTCAATTAAACTCAAACTTAACTCCAAAATAATTATATTAGATCAAGATATAGAGAGTCTCCTTTTAACAAAATTCTATGATACACACCCCTTAAAAGGTGTGTACCATATGCACATGTTATGTATTTTTGTAGTGTAGGTTATGTATTTTTATAGTAAATATTACATATATTTTTAGTAAAATTACAACAATTTGTGGTTCAAAAATAAAGTCATGATTTTTTGTGATAATATTACGCATATTAATTACTATAAAAATGCGTAAATTCATTTCAAAGGGAAATTTTTTTTAAGGTCCCCAATATTATAATTTTAGAGGATAAAGGACACCCAAAAAGTTCATAGTAGCTTAGGTCCTTGGAAAAAAAAAAAAAAAAGGGCACGTCTCTATCAAGTTTATTGGACCAAAATATTATCGCGTCATTCTCTCTTCATGATTGACAAAGAAAAATATGGACTAAATTTCTCTGTGTGATGGCCAAAGAAATTCATAAAACTAAAATTTCTATATCATTTTAGAGAAATTTGCGAAAGCATCACCCCTTATTCAGTTGATTTTCTCTAGCAAAAAACCTTAGTTAAATTTCTCTGTCATTGTAGTGAAATTTGTAACAGTATTACCCATTGTTCAATTGATTTTATTTGCCTAAAAACCTAGGCTAAATTTTTCCTTCTGTGGTGGCTAAAGAAATTTTATTCCATTGATTTTGTTTGAAACCAACCCTAATCAGTACCATCCAAACCAATGGAACATAAATAGTCCACATAACAAAATAATCCTAAATCAATTTCAATCAAAAAGTATGCACAAAATTGACATAACAATCTGAAAAATAAACCTAAAACAAAAAAAAAAAAATGAATGTCCTAGAGGTCTATGCAATTAAGTCCCCGCTACGACATGCGTCCACTGTCCTTTTATCACCTGGAAATGATAAACAACTATGTCAACTGATAGCTCAGTGAATAGAAGCATGGATAGTAATATAGTTTTGAAAACAG